ATAGAAACAAGAAGCTTATAGGAAAAGGACCATTGGTCACTGGTTGTCTGCTATGTTGAAAACATTTTCTTCTGTTTCTTTCCGTGATGATTTAGAAATATAATAGGATGAGTGTTTTTCATCTTAATTGTTATAATTTATTTAATTTTCCTTATTTGCTTTCCTTTTGCAAATTGTTACTACTGTTTCATTTTTTTAGATGTCTTCAAATAACCATTAAAAGTTTAGAATCTGGTGTCGGAGCTGGAACAGTAGCACATTGAGAGAGGTCGGTGATTGAGCAATGCTCTTAGTCCCAAGAGACACTGAAGCTTGAAAAATATGCAAATAGGATGGCTGCTCATTGGTGCCTCAGATTTGAAGGCACCAATAGTCTGTGAACAAGATGTTTCAGGATTGGCTGCACAAAACATTTCCATTGGATATTTATTTCATAGGCAAGATTTACTGGCAGGATGTGGCTCTGTGGATGCTTGGGGGATCTAGCTGAGTCCTGAGTTTTCCTTTGCATATGGTAGTATTTCTTTTCAAAAACCATCATTTAATTTATTATTCCCTTACCCAGGACCATATTGTTGACACTATAAAATGTTTTCCTCTAACATTTATTATTTACACAAAGCGTTTACTTAGCAGCTGTTATAAACTAGATCTGAGTAGGTACCATACACCTTCCCCAGGAATTTTGCTGTTGTTGTATCAGTGAAGATGGCCTTCAGCACTCCTTTAATAGCTTCCATTTTTCCAGTTGATTGAATTTGCTGCACTTCAGTTATCTCATTTGAAGTTATAATGGTATTTTAAGAACTTTATTAATAAATTTTTTATAAGAATTAAGCAACAGTATATATAAAGTCCTTAGAGACTACCTGATGCAGGATAAATACTGTATGAAAAAAACACATTTCTTGTTTTGTGATTAGTTCCTCCTCATGTTTGGGAAATTGAATATGGGCTTTTGAGAATAAATGGAAATTAGACTTCTCCAGTTGTAATCAGGGCAGCCCATACAGTGGGGAGCTGTCCAAGGAATGTTCAAATAGCAAGAACTAGCATGGGAATCAGTACATGTGTGTTAATAACAACCAGATACATTTCCAAAAATGCTAACAGCAATTGCATTTAGTATCTAGAAGGTATGTAGAGCTAGGCAAGTATCTTTGCATAGACTGCTGCATCTAGTACTATTAGTGTGACCTTGGACAAATTAAATTCATTGCAATTTATTTTGTAGTTCAATTGTCAAATAAGATTTAATTACTGACTATCACACTGTATATGATCACTAGAAAAAACCTGTAATATCAAAATCTTTGTTAAATATCTTTGTATCATTTGAGATACTTTGGCTGAAACAAATCTTCTCCAACTCAGCCACCTCAGAACATGTTAAGGGACTTGTGTTGGAAAACTCGAAGAGATGTCTTTTCTCCTTTTAGACATGAGTCTGAGAAGAATAACATGCTAAGTTATAGAGTTGATTTTTGTGGCTTAGAGGAATCTCTGTACATTAGCAGTCAAGGCAATCTGAGTGCTTGAAAATAGAAAACAGACAAAGGTTAGCAATGGCATTTCAGAGACGAAGTGATCTAAAGTGTTTCTGTATAGACACTTGAAAAATCTCAGTCTTTGAATCGTTTGTTATTGACTTTTGTGGCACCTAAAGCTATCTGCGGGTATTACATAGAGTGCTTTGAAGGCAAAGATCCATAGTTTGGGACTCTCTCAGACTTAAAGAGCTATTAGCAGGCTTATAACTGCTACATGGGGTTCAGTATTTTACTCCTACAAACCTTCCTTGATCCTTGATAGTTCATGGAGTAAATTGTTATTTTAGCCTAAAAGCAACCAGAAAATTTTCTGATGAAATTTTCCCTTAGGGGTTTGAGAAAATCAGCCCCATAGTCATTTTTGTGTGACTTCAACGTTCGATTGTGAAATACTTAAAACAAAAGAGACACAAGAAATCAATTCCTGATTTATTTATTGGTAACTTAGGAGTTTTCCCAAGCCTTCAAAGTAGCAATAATTCATTGTAACACCTTAGATTAATTACAAAATGCTTACATCTTCTTTGTGTTGCTTTTGCTACTTTTTGCAATTATGAAATGAATAAAAAATACCTACACTGAAAGAATGAAATGAATATATATATAATGTTTGGCTATGTCTTGCTACAGAGTAAGTGTTATACAGTTGTTTGCTATTCATTATTATAATTATTTCTATAAATTTTATTACTTTGAAAAGTTAAAAACCATGAAAGGGGGGAAAATTGTAATTTTCTACCCAGAAATAACTTGTAATCCACCAGACTATTTCTTTTAATTATATTACTCTGTCGGTGTCGCTCCCAGCCGGCAGGAAAAACACACGACAGATTCTGACGGTGTGCAACCTTGTCTTTATTTGTCTCCGCGTGGGCCCCGCGAGGCCTCTGCTCTGCCACCAGTCCTTCCTTACCGGTGGACTTTCTCTATCTCTCTATCTCCTCCCGCAGGGAGGGTCACATACATATATATATGGACTCATCATCCAATAGGGCAACAGCAAGCAATGCAAGCTGATTGGTCATCGTCATTGGTTGCTAGGTAGACCAATCTATTGCGCGGGCTGTTTAAGTCGCCAGGGCAATCAGGGGGCAGGAAGCAGGCGCCAACTTGGCTCACTCGATGGGAGGGGTAATCTAGCTCGGGCTTTGCTCTTTTCTACAGGCCTCACGTCCGCCAAGTAAGGCGACCGGGCTCGGCCGCGGCTCCCAACATCTCCCCCTATTTTATTTACTTTGAATGAATGTATGCATCGCAGCCCGCCCTGGATTGAGTGCAGAGGCTTATGCCCTGTGTTGAGGCCCACTGTAGGCCCTTGGCTTGGACCCTGGTCGGCCATCCCTGGGTCCGCCAAGGCCTTGAGACCCTCGTCCTTTTTCCAGGGCCAGGAGTGAACTGGACGGAACATGGATGCACATAGGCATGCACTCATGCCCCTCCGTGTGATCCCCTCGGAGAGGCATCTAGATCTGGGCAGATTCTAGTAATCCAGCGGCTTTCGTGCAGTATGGGGTAGGGCCTGGCTTAGGTCGAGTCGTGCTGGGGAGGCACGCTCTTACCTGTCATTGACTCACCTACCCTGCTGTGTGGTGTCAATAGGGAAGGAATGCGGAAGACCCGCCACACCTAGACCCGGTCGTAGGCCAGTCGAGCGAGCCATGCGTAAGCCTGGGGGTCATTGTGCCCATCACGGGCTGCTGCCAGGGCCGCATGGGCAACCAGGTGTACTTGACGCCGGGCCGCCGCAAGGCGCCCATTAATAAATGATGTGACCCATCGGAGCAAGCATGGTCCTATAAGCAGGAGCAAGAACAAGGAGCATAGAGGGCCTAACAAGGGTAGCACATAGGGGAGCAAGCCGTTCCAGGCCCCCAAAAAGGGATTGTCCTGCAGTTCTTTTAGGGCTCATCTTGTTGTTGGGTCTGCGGTTGGCCTCTGGTGGAACAGGCCTGATCTTCAGTCAAGGGACTTGTCGCGTCAACCTCTCTGGGACCCACAGTGGTTTTCGTCCCGGTTCCTGGGGAAAAACACAAACCGCGCCTCGGTTCCAGCTGATTACCGGATCCGGGCCCATCCATTGTCCCGTCAGGACATCTTTCCATCTAACCCATCCTTTATTTTTGGGGGATGGGGTACAATGTGCCATAGCTGGGGAGCAATTTTCACTGTTTAAGTTTAAAAAATTGTATGTGAATAATGCCATAGATAACCGCGCCTTTGGAGGCAGGCCTTGGCTTACTCCCCCTTTTTGTTTTTTATTTTATTTTATTTTATTTTTTTTTATTTATTATTATTTTTTTATCGGTACCAGGGATCGAACTCGCGATTGCCTGCTTACAAGGCAGGCACTTATGCCGCTGAGCTAAATCCCCAGCCCCTGTTTCCTCGACCGGCGTTTTTCTCAGCCTGACCGGCGTTTTTCTCAGCCTGCTCGGCAGAGTAGCCGCCCATGAAAATACCGTCCGCCCCGCGGCGCGACGTCATAGGATGGCGGCCGCGACAGAGTGGAACGGGGCGTCACTTCCTGTGCCGGCTGAGAGAAGGGAGGGTCCCCTGTAGCGGCCTCTCGGCGGGGAACCGCTTCTGGAAAAGAACTCCAGGGCGGAGCGGATGGCTCTCTATCTCCTCCCCGCCAGAGAGCGCTCGGGGGTCCTTTCTCCTCTCTCTGCTTTTCTCGAGCGGCGCACGCACACAATTCGCGGCGCAACTCGGCATAGGGGTTTTGGGCCTCTTGGCTTCCTGCCCCACCTTCTGGTTCCTCCTCGCTATCTGAGTCGGAGGACTCCAGAGCTTGAGTGTCCTCTATCTTTCCCTGGATCTTCTCCCCCTGGACAGATCCCTCCCGAGAGCATTCCGACTTTGCCTGCTCAAAAGCCTTGCGTGCATCCATGATTTCCGTGTCTCTAACTGCCGACGGGAACCCCTTCCCCTCCCCTTCAAGGCACGCATGTATCATTTCCCACAGGGGGTGAATAGCCGGCGAAATATCGCCTCCCAATTCCGCCGAGGCGAGGTCCCCGCCTAACTTCTCCCATGACGGCAGGTTTAAATGCCCTGTGGGTAAAAACCAGGGAGCCACCCTATCTACCTCCGCTATGAATAGTTCCAGTGTTTTTTGACCTACCCTGAGGTCTCTAGCTTTTAAAAGCTTTCTAAGGGCCTTTACCAAGGGCCGCGCCTCCGTGCTCGGTAAATTACCCATCCTCAACCTCTGAGGGCTGTTACTCACCGCGTGTGACTTAGAGAACCCGTCACCTACGCGTGAGCCTGAGGGGAGTCTAAAAGCCCTGTAGGTGCGCGCCACCCAGAGCCCAGGTTTATCCCCCACTCACCTGTCCGGCAGCACCACGCTGGAGCGTTGCACACCACCGAGGGGAGTGATCAGGTCCCCGTACGGGCCACCAGATGACCGGAGCCGCGGGAGACAGGAGACCAAACTCGAGCAGGATCAGCTCTCAAACTTTATTGCGTACAGCGAACCGGACCTAACAAGGTCCACCACCCTCAACGTTGGTTCCTCTTCCGCCCGTTGGGGGCAGGAACAGCCTCTTATAAGGGGAAGCAGTATCCAATCACAGAGAAGCACGTCTAACAAGCTGATAGGCTAGCGTCACGGGTAACTGGGCAGACATGACAATTTGGCGGGCTTGTTCAGGCCGGGAAGAACCCGGAAGCAGGAAATGGGCACCATCATAGGCGGCTTCCCACATCTCCCCCTTTTTTATTTATTAAAATAGGATGGTCTGTGGGTCCCTCCAAGGTGTCTATGACCTTGTTGCTGTTAGACACCTAGGAGTGGGCCTACCTTGTAGGCCGAGGCATGAGAGAATGTAGAGGTCTATACCCTGCTGTGCATCACCCTGTTTTGTGCATATCCTTGCGCCAGGACCATGCTCAAGGTGAGTGGTTCATTTTTTCGCAGGGCCAGGCTTTTGTGAACCGAACCTGGATGCATATAGACATTCATTCCTGCCTTCCCCCCAACCTTTGGGGCGGATGGCACTGCAGTACCCTTGGTCTCGCATCTCAATGCCAATAATTTGACTCCGGGAGGGATCCCTGGCCTTATAGGCCATGTATATCTGAGTGGAGCCTGTCTTAGGTTGACCGGGAGGGCTTTTCCCGTCTTACCCGTCATTGGCTTGCCCACTCAGCTCTTATAGCTGATGTTCTGCAATGTGAAGGAGATATGCGGCGGCCTGCTGGCCTGATGGGCCACCTGCTGCCATTTGCATGGCTGCCATGGCTGTGATCTTAACCTGCTGCTGAGTTTGTATGAGGCGATCTAACAAGCATTTAATAACCACAAGCCCCACTAGGATGGCCACGGCAATCAGGATCCAAGTAGTCAGGTTGGGCCAGGAGAACCAGGAGGTGACGCGTTCCCACAAACTGGCTATAACACTGCCTAAAGTTGATAAATCGAACCTGACTGGACCTAGTTGGATACCGTCCATATTGTCAAGTTCCTGACTGACTATGAGGGACAAATTGTGAAACTTAGGTAGGTAGGTGTCTTGCAGCCAAGCTGTCATATTTTTAACAGTGTTGGTCAAATTTGTGCGAACAGGGGTGATTAATAGGAACCTACAGAATAGAAAAAGCTCCAAACCAGACATTTTAGTTTGTAGATGGTCTCGGGCGCTGAGCGTCGGTCCCAGAAGGGTCGAGTTGACTTGTGTCCGCGGGCTTATCCTCCTGTGCTTTATCAGGAACTGGTGGGGAGTGGGGGCCACCAGATGTCGGTGTCGCTCCCGGCCGGCAGGAAAAACACACGACAGATTCTGACGGTGTGCAACCTTGTCTTTATTTGTCTCCGCGTGGGCCCCGCGAGGCCTCTGCTCTGCCACCAGTCCTTTCTTACCGGTGGACTTTCTCTATCTCTCTATCTCCTCCCGCAGGGAGGGTCACATACATATATATATGGACTCATCATCCAATAGGGCAACAGCAAGCAATGCAAGCTGATTGGTCATCGTCATTGGTTGCTAGGTAGACCAATCTATTGCGCGGGCTGTTTAAGTCGCCAGGGCAATCAGGGGGCAGGAAGCAGGCGCCAACTTGGCTCACTCGATGGGAGGGGTAATCTAGCTCGGGCTTTGCTCTTTTCTACAGGCCTCACGTCCGCCAAGTAAGGCGACCGGGCTCGGCTGCGGCTCCCAACATTACTCTGCATCCAAATGGGTTTTTGTCCTTTCCTTACAAAATTAGCTTTATGCTAATGTATTGTTTGGCCATCTACAATTGTATGTACCAATTAATCCTGGGCACTTTTATGTCATGAGATACTCTTCCATTGTGTTCTCTACATCAGATTGATTTAAATGATCTCCCACAGGTAGGTATTGAGTTGTTTCCATTTTTGACATGGTTACTAAAATGATGAAAAGGACTTGCTTTGAACTATTAATATTCATGATGTGAATGAAGAAGTTAAGTCCAGAGCGAGCAAGGAATAGAGCAAGGGATGTTGGAGGGGCAGAGCGAGAGCCCAGGTCTTCCTGCAGGAGTCCCACAACTTGCCCATCACCCTCTGCCAAGAGCTGAACACAGAAGAAATGCATTCTGATGGAGCTCCATGTTAGGACGTACTGAGACTCTTCACCATGGCACATAAAGTGAGGCTTTTGGAAGAGGACTGGACAGCAGAAGTGTCAGAGCTCACTTGCTGTGAGGAAGTGGTAGCTGGTTGGAAGACGTCATACCTAGGGTGAGACCTGGAAGGGTTTTCATCTCCGGCCCTGGCACCTTCTATTGCTGTCTGCTTCCTGGCCACCGTGACCCGAGCAGCTCTCTTTCACCAGACCCTTGTGCCAGGTCTTCCTGCTTTGGAACAGTTGAATGTGCTAGGACTGAGACTTCACAACCTGCGCTACAGAAAGTCTTTAAATTGGCGGTGTTGAGTATTTCTTCCAGCAACTGGGAAAGTGACTAAGACAGCCAGCTTCAAGCAGCCCGGGTCCCTGGAAGATCCATTGTGCAAGACCAGGAAAAATCATCAGTAGTCACTGAGGAGGGCACACTGCTTTCCTGCTCACCTCTGTCCACCTGCTGCTGTTTCTCTCTGGTGGACTGGAAAGGAATATGCACAGCTTAGCTCTGTGGTAAGAGGAATGACAAAGACAAGGAGGTGAATCTTTTCTGTTTACTGGATTTTTGGGTCACTCTCTGGATTTGCATCATGACTCAGTTAGGTCCTGTTTTACCTTTCAGAGGAGGCACAAACTATTAGGGTTTTTTTTCCCAAGGATCCTACATTAAACATACATATCGTGGGCTCCATGCTATTGACTCCTGAGGCTATAACGTCTTTCCCATTTTTGAGTGAGTAAGATTGGCTGGGATGTTCTTAAGCTTGTTGAACTTTATCCACTGATCATATTTGATTCATTAATTCAAATAAGGTTCATTTTCCAACTATTATTGGGGAAAAACCCACAAAATAAAATTTTATCAGACAACTAGATTCACAGAGCTTACGTGTTAAAGGTGAGAGACTAGCACATAGAAAGATAGACAACCATGTCAGATTATGCCAAGGGTGACTGAAAAGTACATTATGTTTGAATAAAACAGACTTATTATAGGAAAAGACATCTTACTGTGAAAGACAGGTTATAGTGTTGGAAGTGAGAGGAAATATTTTGAGCATGTTGAGGGGTATAAGTGGAAATGTATCTTTTGCTGTAATAAAGCTTCCCATTTCAGCATTCACTGTGCTTTCTGATCATTTCTTATTTATCAAAATTTATGGCAGTTTCTGTCAAATAAGAGCACAATGCCATGTTCTCATCCATCTCACCCACTGGACCTGAGGTTCTTAGCCAAAGTCACAATGACCATTCAAGGGAAACATTTTGAATCCATTCAGGACATCAGGGCAGGCAGGAAGCACAGCTAAAGATTCTCAGCAAAGGAAACTCCAGAGCTGCTGCAGGATGTGACAAGCACGATGAGATGAGTATGTTCTAAACAAGTAGTACTATTTTGAGGTGATTCACAGCTGCATGTCTTTCACTGTAATAAAAAAAATTGAATGTAAACAGTCCTATAACTTTTAGTAACACCATATGACACAATTAATGGAAAATTAAAGCAGTTTAAGGAAGAAAAAAGGTGAGAATATTTTTGTTGAGACAGAATATGGAAGAGGAAATCTGTTAGAATATAGGCCTGGGAGGTAGGGATGAGAGAGCTCTCACACCAGGAGAAGAGCAAGAGAGACAGGAGGTGTGGATCACAGCATCTGTGGTGTGAAGGATGATCATAATCCTCCTGCCTCTGTGAACTATGTGTACAACAAATGGTGAATGGCAGGCTTGTCACGCACATCAGCCTGATCCCTGAAAACCATCAGTCTTCTGTTTTCATATTTGTAGAAGTAGATTGGTGGAGATGGAAAGGAATCTGAGGATGGGGGAGACACAAGGGCATGGAAAAGGAAGGAAAAAAAAATGATTAATATGTAATATGGATGCACACCCATTACCCAGTATGAAAAGTATTCAGTATCTATTGCAAACATGTATGAATAAAAAAGATTAAAAATGGAATTACCCTGAAGCAAATCTCTGCTAGACCCAAGGCTGGGAAGAATAGTGAACAAAGCACTTATCTTTGCCTCAGTCTATAGTACAACCAAGAGGTAAATAATCTGTCGAGGAGGGTGGATAGTTTGAGCGCAGTAAAATGGGTGTCTTCAGGGAAATGAGATCAGGCAGGACACAGGGTCAGCTGCCACGGCGGAAAGTGTGATGCCCCAGATCGTAAACTCTGAGAGGTGCTTAATGGTGCAGCTATGTGGGCACAGTGCTGATGGTGTGCCAAGCAGTGTCTCCAGTTCATCTGGCACTAGGAGCTGGTTTTATAAAAAGCAGTGTCCCACCAGGGCAGCCAAGATTCCTCACATGCATGGTTTGTAGGAGGGCTCACACCCCTGAGATCTAGCTCCCCAGAGCTGCTGCGGCTCTCTCTGGGTGACTGAAGCCAGGGCAGTGACTGCAGGCACCTGGGCACTCCTGAGGGGCTGCTAATTTCCTAACAGGTCACAGAGATGGAGAACCTGGCACTGCATACAAAGAGATGCCACAAGAAACTGTAAACTGCGGGCTTAGCATACTTTCATCCAAAAGTATGCTATCCCTAAGTGGAAAAAGAAGGTTGTCACAGGATTCATCATTGTAACATGAAAGAACAACTCGTAAGTCACAAAGCATTGGTGAAAAGTCAAACTGAGCCCGTCTATGACCACCCTTACAAACTCTTGCAAACAACTCATATACTCATTTCTTTAATTTATGACCCAAAATGTCTTTGATGAATTTATGTATGATGCTAGATTGACAGTGAGATATAAAGACCAAAGAGCCAATTTCAGAGAGAGGGAAACTGAGTCATAAAAAAGCAAAGGACATTCCATGCCACTAAGGTTTAGAGGTCTTGGTCTCCTGAGTCTGCTGGAATCTGATTTAGGGCGGCTCCCTGGCTTCTTAACAAGGTAACTTATTTTCCTCTCTTTAATGTTCTGGAAGTTTTACGTGATATTTCTGCACTTTCCTTGGATATCTTTAAAATTTTATTTCAAAAATTTACATAATAATAAACTGAAAAATAAAAAAGATGAATGCTGATTTTGTCTCATCTTTGAACCCCCTGAGTACAATTTCCATGAAAACTACGAGTAAATTTATTGTCTGAATATTATTAAAATTTTAACGTCATGTATCAATCATCACTTGTACTGAAAATGAACTCAAATAATGAGTAGCCTGTGAATACACTGTTTGTTTTATTCTAAATCTTCCATTTTCTCACCTGCTTCCCCCTACTTTGTGTGTGGAGCATCCTCAAGGAGGTCTTTCATAAGTAGTGTTCCTTAAATGGAACATTTTCTGTGTTGTTGATTGTCCAATAACGTCCTTTCTCTGCACAATTGTTTTATAATTTGATAAAGATGAAATTCTAGGTCAAAATCACATTTTTATGTGATTGAAATTATTACACATCCATTATTTAGTGCTAATAAGTCTGCATTGATGGTATTCATTTTTAAAGGATGTTCCACCAAGGATTAGGGATTTCTAAATATCATTTGTGTCCTTAAATAACAGGTGCATGTTGCAAAAACTTTTAGTACTCATCCTTTTGAATGGGTGTGTTGTTTCCTTCTGAAAATTAATGACCTTTGACTCTTTTGGGAATTTCTTTTTGACATAGTAATACCCTCGCAATTCCTTTTTATGCTCCCTGACTTCTCTCTCTCTGCCTTTCTCTCTCTGTTTCTGTCTCTCTCTCTCTCCCTGTCTCTCTCTCTTTCTTTCTTTTCTTCATCTCTGTCTGTCATCTTACTGTACAGTCTGGAATAGGTTGAAGTTTCAGGATCTGTGTTGCTTTCATAACTCTCCTTGTAATTTCTTTTAGTCCTGCTACACTATGTTTCAGGAGAATCTTATTTTTCTTCTTGATTGATAATACAGTCCCAAGATTTGAGACCTTTTTATTCAGCATTGGGTCCAATTATCTACACATTTATTTATTTTACATATACAATATTGATTTCTAAAGACTTCAATCGATTATTTTTCTTACCCACATCTTTTTATAATGAAAATCTCTCCTTATGCTTATAGGAATAATGCTTTATTAAAATCACATTACCATTTACTTTTTCTCTAAAATATCAGTTGCTCAGAGTTTCATATTTTTTGTTATTGAATTCATATATCTTCCTCTGCCTCTCCCCTCCCCAACTCACCCTCTTCCCTTCTCCCCTTCCCTCTTTTTCTTCTATTTTAGAGTGCTGACAATGGAACCAAGTGTCTCATGAGTGCTAGGCAAACACTATTGTTGAGTCACATCTTCAGCCTAGAATTTCACAACATTCTGTCCCTTAAGTGTTTAGAGATTGTTTTTGTTTGCTTGTTTGTTTACTCTCTTAAGTGTTTAGAGATTGTTTTTGTTTGCTCTACTCCCTGGTCACCATTTGATCTGGTTAGACTCCTAGCCTTTGTGGGCTTCTTGCTTTGATTACTTTATTAAACTTCTGGAGACTGTGGGTTTTAGTGCAGAAGATGCCTCTGCTGTAGTTTGGATCCCAAATATTCTGCAAATGTACAGATGCTAAAATCTCAGATTTCAGCCCACTGTGCAACTTGGAGGTAGTGAGTTTGTAAATGGTGGGCAGCTGGGAGCAAATTGGGCATCAGAAGTGGTAGCTTGAAGGGCTGCTGAGACCCTACCCTGTGCTATCTCTCTCCTGCCAGATGGCTGTGCATTTCCCAGCCACACACTCCCTCCATGACCATCATCTAGATCCAGGCCCCAGATGACAACACCAAGTGACCACAGGTTAAAGCCTCCCCTGGCATTTTTTACTTGTTTCTAGTCAATAAACATGTTATCGGTGAGGGGGATGTCACTCCTCTGATTGCATTATATAAACCCAGGAAGAGACAATCAGTAAGTCAGAAAGATTCCCAGCACACTGACCATATTGTGATAAGACTCGTGCCAGAGCCAGGTGGCGTGGGACTGTGGGGTCCTTTAGTACAGGATACGGCCTCATCAAGAAGCAACGAGAAATGAGGGGCCTGGGTCTTCCAGCTTCAAGGAGCAATGCCTATAACCACAAGGAACCCGGAAGCTTCAAAGAGGGCAGAGTCCAGCTGACACCTCTCATGAAACCTTACAAACCCCTGAGCAGGGTCCCAGGCTCAGGTGAGCCTGGACATCTGGCTCCAGCATGACTCAGATGGGATAAAACACACATAAACCCCACTATATTGGTGGCAGTCTGTTACTTTGTGTATAAAAATGAATATTTTTAAAATTTATACTCATTTTTACAGAAGTGGTAGCATTCTTCATATACCATTTTGCAAAAACACATGTTGGGAATCTGCCGTCCAGTAATTTATGAGACTTTCCTTATTCTGAAAATCACATAAGATTCCATTTTTATTTGTACTGATTTTTAACATTTGTGCAAATAGTTAATGTCTATTTTGCAATTGTAAATATAGTGTAACTTTTTAGGGGGATATGAAATTACTTTCTTTGTAGCTAAAGCAAGGTCATTCTGTCTTACCAATGTTGTTGGAATGCATTTTACTTTGCAATCTATTTAGTTTTTCTTTGTGTACAATGTCTGTTCTCTGTGTCTCTGTCTCTCCCCTCTTTCTGTATTTTTGTTTTAGAGGTCACCTTAATATTTATGCTTTATATTTATGCTTTGTGTATAAAAATGAATATTTTTGTTTTATATTTATGCTTTATATTTATTGCCTTTATTCTTCTTTTACCTTTCACAATCTGCTTTGTCAGTTTTAAATGGTATTCTTTTATTGTACTTTCAATTCATATATAATCAGTGTTGTGGTTTTTTCTGTCTCCTGTTCTCTTTTTCTTGCTCATTTTTCAAAATTGCAACCTTTCTACTCTTTCAATGCATGCTTCTATAGGTATGACCTTAACAATCTTATGTCTTCTATTAAACATGTACTATCTCGGCCAGGTATGGTGGTATACACCTGTGATCCCAGAACTCTGGGAGGCTGAGGCACAAGGATCACAAATTCAAGACCAGCCTGGGCAACTTAGTGTCTTAGTAAGACCCTGTCAAAAAAAAATCCAGTAAATTTTAAAAAGAGGAGGAAGGTATAGTTCTGCACAAAGGTACAGGATTCAATCTCCAGCACTGAAGGAAGAACTGTCACTCTGCTCTGCTCTGTCTCCTAGTTGTGAAGGTTTGCCACATGTAACTTAATTTGTGCTTAGATTTAATCCCACATGGCATGTGTTTAGATGGGAAAGGAAATGTGTAAAGGTTTTGATTCAGGTGTTCACCAGATATTCTTACCATCAAGCTTGCTTTCCTGACATTTTTCTTCTGTGTCATTTCCATATCTGAAGCTGGAGAAGGCCAAATGCCTGTCCTTAAGCTGCTGATCCAGCACCACTGCCATAGTTTTTGGTGGCTCACTTTGCACCCGGTTGCTGGATGAACTTCAATTTCCTGGTTTGTCTGTTCTGTCAAACAGGACATGCATCCTATGTTAGTTCCTTAATCCACCAGTCAGTGCCCCTGGGGTCCTGCAATTGCAGCCTCAATGGAATTTCAGAAGGGCTTTGGAAAAAATAATCTTGACATAGTTTGAAGAGCTGAAAGTCACGCCCCACCCCATATCTGTTGTGTGCACACCCAGCTCTTAGGGTTATGGAGCAACCTCATCTAGAGTAGGGATGGGCACATCAGGAGCTGGGTAAGAAGAGGCTGACTGTGCTACAGAGGATGGTGGAAAGGCTCAGTGCACAACATTGTGGCAGGGAGAATGATTATGTGTCAAGTTAAAGGCTCAATGGATTATGTAAGAGCTGGAGAAGAAAGTGAGAGAGAGGAGAGATGAGGACCAGGAGGACAGAACTCTGCTTATGCTCAGAGTTTGCTCATGAGTGCTGCAACTGATCAGGAAATTCATTTTTAAAATAAATAACCAGAACAGTACATGAGGAGCTGGACATTACTGTAGAGATCTCCTTTGGTTCCCTGGTGCTCATAGCCATTTTTCATCTTGACATCTTCTAGAGATCTTTAACTTTTGTGCATTGAAAAGGGAATTCTCCCCACACAAGATTATTTTCTATCCCTGTGTCTTCGCATGATTCCTGGCTTTCCTTTCCCTTGCACAGTGACTTAGTCACTTTCTCCTCACTAAGACAATACTGCACACCCTCACCTTAAGGAAGGAGACATTTACTTTGGCTCAGTTTCAGTCCATCATTGGTGGACTCCAAGATAGGACAGCACTGATGGTAGGCATAGAGGAGGGCTGTGCATGACATAGTATCCAGGGAGCAGAGAGATTAGGGGAGGTATCAGAAGGGAGGAAAACTCTTCTGCATCCTGCACCCAGGTCACCCACATCCTCCCATCAGACCCCACCTCCAACAGTGAGTCATCTCTGGGCTCCCACTATCCAGTCCCCTACCCAGTGTTCCTCTTATGAAAGCAGGGGACTCTGAGGGACATTCACATATAAACATTAACGTGTGCTCATCCGTGTAAGTATTCTGTGCTGATATCATCTGCAGCCTTCACACTAGGACACTCAGGTCTTAAGTAGCCTTCTATCTACAGTTGTATTGGGATCTCTGAGGTAGTTCTTTAGCAATAAGAACAGAAGGATGCAAATGCATTCAGGGACCCAGGAGCTTTCTGAGGTAAGCTTTCTTGATTAAGAATATGGAGGAATTTCCTTATATATCATCCCTTATTTTTATAAGCTTTTTACAGATGAGACGAATGTGGAGAGGAAGGGTCAGTAGAAGACAGATAAACTGGCAGAGAGAAGAGTGGGATCATGGGGCAAATGAAGAGAATATTTCTTAATATATATACAGTGTTAATATGCAGTCATACTTAACATCCTCTTTATAAGTTGTCTTGGTTTTCATCACTGAGATAAAATACCTAACAGCCACAAGTTAAAAAAGGAGTGGTTTATTTTGGCTCATGGTTTTTAAAGGATTTAGACCATAGTCAACTAACTTCAGAGTAGAAGGATGGGGTGGAAGGGCCTGGAGGAGAATAGAGCTACTTACATCATTGCAATAAGGAAACAGGAAGAGGAAGGAGCTGGGGAGGGAAACGATTACTTTCAGGTCATGCCCCCAATGACCCATCTCTTCTGATCAGCCCATCAGCATATTTAACTGTGAACTCAAGATGGAAGAATCCACTGATGAACATAACAACCTAGGATCCAACCATTTTCTAAGAGCCCCACCTCTGAATATATGAAACTTATAGGGGAGATTCTAGATCTAAACCATCAGAGATGTTATGACACTCCTAAGCTGTTGGAAAGAACTTGCCTCCCATGGTAGAACATGAAAATTCCATAGGGGTACCTTCCAGCTTTTTAGTAGTTTTGCTTGTAATCCTGATATATGAGCCAAATTATGATAATTTCAGCCCATTAGGATTTTGCATGCCCTGCTAAGGATGCAAAAAATCAGACACCAGAGAAAACCATTTCAGTTAGGATGAGTACATTTGCCATCTACAGCTTTTCTAGGCTGGCAGTGGTAGTGATCCCAGTAGCAACTGCCTAGCGTCCAGTGACTGAGTTTAGAATGTGAGTATACACACATGCTCCCTCTGGGAGAGGGCAGGATTGCTAAGCACACCAGTTCTGTGTTGTGATTTTGGCTATGGTTCCTGACTATTTACCAAAATCTGGCCTCCCACTATTTCAGAGAGCTGTTTAATAACCATTTGCATAAATTTGCCCTATTTAGCTCTGTGACTAGGAACTCTAATTAACACACTAAATAAATCATAATGTGCCTTTGGGACTGTTTACTTCTTTCTGAAATTACTGTCTGGCCTGATATTTCAGTAAGTCAATTTAACATCATATATAAATTCATCAAATACTTTTTTGATAGAAATTAAAGAAACGAGAGTAGGAGTTCTTTGAAGTGGAAGTCATAGGCCATAGCGTCGGCCCATTCTGATTTTTCAGATAGTGTTTCACACTCATTTATTATTTTCTAATAGTAAATTGATTAATGATATGACAATGAACTTTTTCTTCCCTTTTGAAAAATCCCTGTCTTTGATAGAAGCTTGTTAATCTCAGAAAGGAAGCAATTAATTTTTTAGAAGTGTTAAAGTAAAATGCAAATGAGAAGTGATCTTTTCAAGGGGTGTGCAATTTGGCATTGTGGGCAAAATAACACTTTCTATGGGAATTGCAGTGTTCAAGCTGAAGAGATAATAAAGGCAGTTTGAAATGTTGTCTGGAAAGGGAAAGAGCTCCAGGGAGAAAGGCCTGAGACTCAGAACATATAAACTGAACATTCAACTATTTTCCAGGGAAGGGAAAATGAAAACTTTTTTGAGAACAAAATAAAGACTTCAGACTCTCTATTTCCTTCCGGAAGATATTGCAAAGCATTTGACATTCACAGACCTTTACGGGTAATGTGAAATATTTTTTTTCAGGTTACCAGCACATAAATATATTTCACACATTTACCAACGGAAATAGTTCAGCCTTCTTGAGCTGGGACACATTTACTTGACAATATGTTAAATTTGTTTTAAAACATGTAAATTGAAAAAGCAGATTTACTTGTGCAGGTTTCACCAATAAAAAACAAAACCTAAAAACATGGAATGAATTGAATATTTTTATAACAACAAGAAATTTAAGAGGTTAATTCTCTTCAAGTAGTTTCAGAGTGTTACATTCTACATCAAGATGTTCCTAAGCAGGGGAAAAACAATAGTGTACTTTTCCAATCACCTTAAAAATCACTCTGACACTCTTGTGATGAAGAGGCTTAATGTGAAAATGTCCAATACTCTCTAACTAGCCTGAAAACATCGGTAAGAATTGAGTGCTTTCCCCTATTTCTGCATTTGAAACTTTTGCTGCACAGATGAATTTTCTGGTACTGTGACTGACAGGTGCTTCCTCAGATGCATGGTTGGTCTGGATGGTGTTTGTCTCAGCGCCACAGAGGACACTTTTTTTACATCTTTTTAGTATTGGCTGTGCGCATCACAATTCTTCATCACTTATATGATGATATCCTTGGTGTGTACATTGATCAGTATTTGCCTTTAAAAGCTTGTGAGCCATCATCTACAAGAACTGGAAAATGAGCTAACCAAATTTTGATATCCAGAATGATGTTGTTGTTTCTTAATTTATCCATATTGTCTTTGACTGAAATTTATTATCTTTTGGGTACTGGACATTGCATTAGGTGAGAAGAAATGATGACGGTGAATAAACAGATTGGACTTTTGAACTGATAGCTAGTGAGACATACAATATTAAAAATCATACAAAAATTAACATAGGAATTGTAATAAATCTTGGGAAATTATATAAGGTAGGGAGAGACAACTGAACCCATATTCTGTGTTGCTGTTGCTTGCACAGAGGTACTTTGGTTCATGAAGTTAATTCTTTCCACTGTTCTCGTTCCAGAATTCGTTCCATGATTCTGTTTGCGTATGCTTGAAATTCATTTGGGACCAGAATCATGGAACAATTTCTGTGACTAAAATTGTGGAAAGAACTAAGTCTGTGAACTGAGGTGCCATTGCATTCCAGTCATCCAAATGACTGTCAAATATCCCTTTACTAAGAGATGGTTTAACCATTTTCATCTCTCAACAAACCCTACTATTAGCGCCCATAATATGGAGGCTAATTTGGTGCAAGTGATGAAGATGAGTTCTCTGAGGTGTAACTTCTGAGCTGAGAACAGAAGCATGAATTATCTGTGTTCAATAAATAGGAGAAAGAAGACTACTTCAGGTAGAGGCAAGGTTTTGTGTTAATGACACCAAGTTGTGGCACTACTTGCTGGTGTAGCTGGCTCTAATTTGCCACTGGAGATACATGGTTGGCTCATACTATACAGTGACTGTGCACCTGAGCAAAACTGTCAAAATACAGCCCTTCAGTATAAATTTAAAGAGGAGACCTGGAAGATAGCACAAGCAAATAGAGAGCAGTGTTAAGAAAACAACATTCACTATGTATTGGAGGCAACTTACTATGTAAAGGAAGGCACCTTATCCTGAGGATCAGGATGATTACATAAGATAACAAATGTGCTTATAGAGAACAGAAAAATATAACACAGAAACCAGTTTTTTCTGCCATAGAGAAAGATACAAATCTTTAAGTGGGCACAAAGTTCACCTTAGTTTGAGACACAAGCTTGACAAGTAGGTTTTCAAGACATGATTTTAGACAAGTTAGTGAGCAGGTATTCCTGTGGGATCCCTGGGCTTTGGAGGTGCGGTGTACACCCCATCTGAGTACTTAGTGCAAACAGCAGGCAGTGACAGGCTAGCTCTGATTCTCATTCACAGCCCATGAGGGCTGAGTCCGTGGGCATCAGGTCACCCACATGCAGTAGCTATGGGCAGACGCATCCTCTTTTGGCACTGATGATGCCTTGGGGAAGAGAATAGGAAAAACTACTAAAGTATCCTCAAAGAAATCCAGGTTAAGACAAGGAACTGTAGGCAAAGCAGTGTTTGGCTTTTTAAAACAATAATTTACAGTAGTCAAAATTGAAACTAAATTTAGTACAGCTATGGAAATTCAAGGAAGATGAAAATTTACATGAACATGTTGATGAAATGCTGAAATAAAACCTTTGGAAGAGGGTTGTAGGAAAATAAATATGTGCAGGCCATAGAATGGAAGACCCAGAACTCAGGGAAAATAGTAATTATTCCCTACTGATGTGGAATCCATGGCAATAAAACATTAGCAGGACACTAGATCCACAAAGAATCCTGTGCTTCACATAGGAGGCAACTAATAAACACTAAGAGAATGGAGGAACACATGAGAGACGTTTTAAATGTGAAGTGGCATCAGTAATCATATGCAACCAATGATTCTTGTTGTTCAAGAAATACCTTAAATGTGCAAGAATAGTATAACCACCAATGAAACAAATGATTCCATAAAGTAGAAGTGACAGAAAGAAAGCAAAATTTCCTCCATGTGACTCCACAGATGTAATCATTCAGTACTAAATCACAATAGTGCTTGACTTGTGTTCATATACATAATAAGTTACACAAATATGCATAAGTGCACATATAAGAAATTGGATGGTAAAATGTATTTAATACTATAAATTACAGATCAAATATAAGCAAACCAGGGATGCAGATAAAGAAAAGTTTATTCCAATATAGACATAATAGATATTCCAAAAGAAAGTTAAATTAGCAAAAATGTATAAACTGTAGAATATTGAATACTGAAATGATCATAATAAACATTAATATCAAAAATGCAAAAGTATTACAGATCAGTATATAGATAATAATAGTTATAAAACACTCCAATAACTATTCTGCAGATCTGAAATTGATTCGGAGCACAATGTATAACTTAAAAATTTAATGTCATGACAAGTAATAATAAAAATAATCATCCAACAAGAATTTTAAAATAGTGTGAAAAGGTCTACATACAGAAACACAATGTGAAAGTCAAAGCACTAATAAAAATAGAAACAAGTATTAAAAAGTGAAAATACACACAATTAAGAATTCAATGAGAAATTAACCATAGACATGAAGAATTTCATGCAAAATTTTCTATTTCAAATGCAAAATTTTCTTTAAAACAGAATAGCATGTTTGATTTTAGATTATAGTCTTTGAAATAACAAAGAAGCAAACATGCACATAAATAGTCCCACATATTATCACATGTGATTTATTTTAAGCACTCATGCTTTTAATGGTATTTAAGCCATTCTGGAAAACTTGATATAAATATGCAATTGTGTGTTTGTAATCAAGTTCATTGCAGAATTATTTTCAATAGGAAAATTGGAAACACTATAGTGGATGACCTTTGAAAAAGCATCAATGAAACAAAGTAAGATTTATCTACATCCTGGGTGCAGTGAGTGACAGGAAGTTGAGGCATCATTCCATGTGTGGCATAAAGCAAAGTTCCCCAGAGAAAGTGATACAGTGGTGCATGCATGAATTGGGTGTGGATAGATGGTAGAAGTTACCCCCATAGAGAAAGAATTAGGATAGGCATCTAAGTAACTGTAGCATGCGTAAGGTCGCATAGGCATAATCAACGTAAGGCTGATTAAAAGCCTTGTATATGGGTAGTTAGCCACATATGGGCAAAAGAATGGAAGGAGAAACTAGAAGATTTGGTTGGTAAAGGTAATATCTCATATCAACATTCATTTAGTCATGTATCACTTAACAAATAATTACTGTACAATTAGTAAAGCCTGGAGTGTGATATAGTTAAATTTACTTTTAAAATTACCTAGAGAAAGTATAGTTTCAGAACTTAACAACCATAGACCAAATATCATATATCCAATGCCAAGAATTATACTGTGTTGTAGGATGTTATATCAATTTATATAAACACTAAAATATGTATGTATGCATACATGTATTGCTAATTTTCATTTTCAATTCCTAGAAAAAACTAGTTAAATTATTAGCCAAGTGAGGCTCTTGGGAAATCATTCTTTGTTTCATTTTCTTGGTTATTTGATGTTTCTACTTGTCTTAGTTACTTTCTTGTTAATGAGATAAGATATTCAGTGCCCATAAATTAAAGGAGAGATTTATTTTAGCACACAGTTTGTGGAGGTTTCAGTCCACAGTTGGCTGCCTCCAAGGCAGGGTGGTATGGTGGAGGAGAAACAGTCAATGGCAGGGTAGGCAGAAAGCAAGGACCCAGACAGGTTACAGGCCTGTTAGTTGGTGCCACCCACACCAAGGATGGAGCTTCTCTCTTCAGTAATGCCTTTGCCCACAAATTTGCTAGATCAGTCAGTGAATTAAACCAGTATCACACCCATGATCCAGTATCACACACCAATGACCCAGTCACCCCCAAAAAGTCACCCCTCTGACCTCTTGAGGCTTTGGGGGGGATGTTGATAGAGAAAAAATAACACTACTTCAACCTTAGGAATGATTCTTATCCATGTCCCCTGTTAATGTTATGGAATTTATCTTTTTCATTGAAAATTTAAAAATTGTTGTAAATAATCTACTGTTTCTGTGAGTTTCTAAACAGTCTCATTTCTGAGTCAGCCTTCATTATTTTTTCTGTAATTACTCACAGAGTACTTTGTAAAAGTTGAAGTCACGAAGGTCACACTGAAATGAGCTTCCTCCATAGAGATGGTAGGAAACAGAGGCAGATTTTAAGGTAAGGTATGCAGGGGAAAGGGGTATATACATCTGCAAAATGAGTGTAACGTATTAAAAAAGTACATTTCTCAAAATGCTCCACTGTGATAACATTGGCAGCAGCTTTACAAACTCCTCTACAGTTTTTCCAAATTTCCCTTGGTTAACACCTCCTGAAGATTTACCATACTGCCTAGAATCAATCAACACATGTTTGTCTGCCAAAGAAAAATCCTCCACAATGCTCTACTCACTTGCATTTGCCAGTCCACATCTTCCTGTTACCCCCTGATGACTTGTTTTAAACTCAGGATCCAGGCAGCAGTAGGGAATAGAAATCAGAGCCACCCCAGAGACTTGCCAGGGAACCTCTTGTGAGAAAAGTTCTGTCTGTACTCATTGGTCACCCCTCATTCTCCAATAAAGAAAGTAGATTCTATTTGCTCGTTCATTAATCTGTAACAACTATTTAATAAAGCTTGGTTATTTATCTGGTAATGAAACACAGACATGAATAAATGCAGGTGTTGCTGTAGGTGTCTTAAATAATTAAGCTAGTTAAGCAGATAGTGGCAATAACATATGATTTGTGGAATGAGTGGCCAGGTGGGAGGATCCTGCAATCCCAGCAATTCAATGAATCCTGTCTCAGGATTTAAAAAAAAAATAAAATGATAATGAGGACTGGGGACATAGCCCAGGGTGAAGACCATATACAGTGTGGGAAGGAGAAGAGGAGAAGACTTTTTCTGGAGGATATCATGTAAATTTTATCATGAACTAGAGTGGGAATTATCTAGAGGAAATAGTGTATGCCACCGAATGATACAGGGAGGAAGAAGTGTTTTCTCACTGGCATATACAGGTATTAGATGAGTTCATTTAACTTTTTTTAACTTAAGCATCTGAGTTTCTTAAAATCAATTCCTACTTCTGGAGTAATTCAAGGTAATTTATACATGGTAACGTATAGTAGAAAAATGAGCATTTTGCCTTAGAAAGGTTTTCCTTTGGTTACATATTCAAAGAGCCATTCAAGTGATCATGTAATTTCCATCCTTAAGACAGTTTAGAAGTGACCTGTAGGCTCACAGAAAAGAAGATGAAAGTAAATATTTATTGACACAATTCATTTTCTCTTAAGATTTCAGTCGTGCTTTGGATCAAATAGAGCTAAAAGACTTCAAGGTTCCCAAGGCTAAATTATCGTGAAGCTCTCACATAAATTCCAATGCTATCTTTCATATTAGAATATATTAAAAGTGTCTTTGGTGACCCATAGGAAATGATTTTATTCTTACACATTCAATTTGAAATAAAATCTTCCTAGTACAACACAGACATTCATAATTCACTTAATGTTTGCTTTATGCATCTAAAAAGAAAATAAAAATTAATGCATGATAGTGAAAAGAGTATTTTCTTTTGAAGACCATTTATTTATTTATTTATTAAAAAATTTGTTGTGTGGCTATATTGTTGTAGTGCTAGATACTAAAAATGCAGGTGAATGAGACAGGTGTGATTCTTGTCTCTGTAGGATACATTCTTGTGAAGGAAATGAACAACAATAAATAAGCCATTAACAAATACAGGTTCTAATAAATGCTATGAAACAAGTAAATGGGATTATCTGATCGGGCATCACTTAGGGCTGCCATGTTAGGTAGGGAGTAAAGAAAATCTCCACACAACAAGTGATCTTTAATCGAAGGCTTGAATTTTGGCTGTGTGAGTCAGTTTACAGGTATGTAGATTGAAGATCATAACTACCATCTGATAGGGCTCTTGACAACATCAAATGATACCATCAATTACAGTGCCATGTACAGTGCTTTTGTTAAGTAAATAAATAATAAATGTTAGGATCAAAATAGTTGCTTATAGAATACACCCCACCCCCCTTGCCTCTTCTTTAGCAGAGGCTGAGCTTATGCAACTACCTCCGTACTCTGAAAAACAGTATGGAATTTCAAATTCTCCTTCTTCCTAGAATATTAAGATACTGAAATCCAATTAAGAAATGCCCCAGTGCTTCTTTAAAAATTGCAACTTAACTTGTAACAGCTCATTGGAGTGCAGGAAGAGGGGGTACATGGGGTGACAGGGCTGGGCACAGGAAGCCAGGGGCAGGCACCCTGTGGCTCTTCTTCTTCCTTTCCGTTTAGTCCACTGCATCTTACCCATGCTGACCAGAACTCTGGAGCTTACCTGCGGAAACAAATCTCCCAAAGGCAGGTGACAGCCACAGAGAGCACAGGAGCATATTTAACCCTGGGATTTCATGAAGTTTGGGCTTTCTTGAGTATGCTGAGGGTAAAAGTTGAATTAAATTTTTGAGAAAAACGATGACCAATAATATTTTTGGCCGTTATGCTCCTTTTGTGCAAGCCTCCATCCATGCTGTTGTATGCATGTGGCAAAAACTATAAAATCAGTTAAAATCCACATAACAGCTTACATATGATAAAGTATAGTCTAGTACATTATCCAAGAGGAATCTGGTAAGAATACATCAGAGTTTTATTGTTAGCCAGTATTTTCAAAATAAACAAAATGCTACTTTGAGGTATCAGGTGATTTTCTCAATAACACTCAGGTGTTATTGACTTGAGGGAGTTGAATTCCCATTTCTTTTTAAAATTTTATTGAGAGATAACATACGGGCTGTCATGTTATCCTCAGAAGAGAGGTGGAAACCAAGCTCGGTCCTGCTGATTGTCTGCTTCTGCAAAAGAGGTTGCAGCACGCGACAGGCAGCCTGCTAGATGGGTTATGGTTAATTCTCCATTCATCTCTCTTCTACATCAACTCTTTCCCTTTGTATCTTGGCTGCTAGGGAGTCCTGAATATATTTTAAATTTCTTCCTGACTGTGGTTATCACCTCGTTTCTTCATGCATTTTCTTTTTTCTTTTTTATTGATGTTTTAACTTTCCTGTGGGTATTTTGTCATTACATTGATATTTACACCTCCAACTGTTTCCAAAACTATATGCATACTTGCATCTTCGTGGGAAGCCTCCTTTAGTCTAGGAGGGAAGCTGGTAGGACATAAATCATAAGTCTACCCAGCTACTCAGAGCAATTGAGAGGCTTGCAATTCGAGAAAGACTTATTGGGCATTACAAAGCAAAGCCGAAGTTTTAAAGCACATTAACCTGCATAAAAACACAGATCTAAATGAGCTTGACTTTGTAGCCATAACTTTATTTAGAGCTCACTTATTTTACTCAGTTTTTTTATTTTCAGACCTAAATAAAATGACTCCTTTGTGGGGCCTCCGGTTACATCCAATAGGGCCACACTGAGACTGAGCTTCTGTTATACACAGAAAAAACATAAGAAAGTTCCACTTATAAAAATACTCAGATGATGCAAGAATAATTCACTTGACAAAGCCTAACTGAACTGTGTACAAATTGTCCATTGCTTTGGACTGATATATTTTTAGGTTTAGATGGGAAACATCTCACTGTGTTTTAAGATAACTATAGCTGTGCACATCAAGAATGACAGTAAAGATTTCTCTCTTCACACATAAATAGCAAAGATGCTGGGTTCCTTATAGTGAAGTGAAGGTTTAAAAGGATCCTTGAATTTTCCAACTCTAGAGGTATATGTATTTGCATGTGTGTGTGTGTGTTTGTGTGTGTGTGTGTGTGCACATGCACATGTATGCAGTTGTGTGTGTATCTGTGATAGTTTTCAAAACTGCACTTGTACTGACTCTTGCCAGTGGGATAATCACTAGATAAATCTGCTTCATGAAAAGATCTTACAGAGCAGGGATTCCCTAATATTCTGGTTCCCGGTAGAGGGGCTCTTTGTTTATTCATTTCCCTCTACTCTACTGCAGTACTACTGCAAATGAGGAGTTAAATGTCATCGTATGCTCATATTTCCTTAGTTTTTTATTAATTTAACACAAATTGTGGTTGAATGTTCATCTCTCGACAACATTCTTAAGGTTATACTATAATGTACCATCTACACTGTGACACTGTAACACTTCTGAAAGCAGTATTATTAACACTCAGTCCCTGTAAGTCTTGGCTACTTTTCTTTCATTGCTGAGATAAAATACCTGATCCCAAAAAGAAGGAAGGAAAGGTGTATTTAGCTTACAGTTTGTGGAGGTTTCAGTCCATAATTAGCTGGCTAGAAGGCAGAATGACATGGCATTGGGGCAACACTTCATGGCAGCAGCAAAGCAATGGAGGGGAAGGAAAGAGTAAGATACTTTTTCCCACCCGGCATATTGAACACAAGCCTCCCCAGAGCAGAGTGTAGCACTCATAAAATCTCTGTGCCCTCCTCTTGCACAGGATGAAGATATTTACAAAGTAAGTATCCTGGCTCCCTGCTGAGGCTCTCAGTTAAATGTCTAAACTTCTCAAGTTGACACAATATATCAATCATTACACTGTGTTTTGGGTAAGGTGGTTTAGTCACTCTCTTCAGGGTCACACTGACATAAAAGGGAAGAGACGAAGCCTGTTTACCTTGGATAAATGTCTCCACATTGTGAAGTTGAGTTCTTTGAGTTGCACCATGGGAATAAGATATTCAGCTATTTAGAATCTCAGAATCCACTTTTCCATGTAAGCATTTTCTCTTAAAAATTTGCTCACTAAAATGATTTTGGAATTTCATGGGATCATTGGGAAAGTTAGGCAACTAGCACCAATGACATTTCCCTGATCTAAGTGAACAAAACCAAAGCTGAGTCCCAGGTGTCACCTGGTGAAGAAACAACTCCTCCCTAACACGACTGTTTTCAGTGCTGTTCCCAGGAACTGGCAGTCTCAATAAGAAACTTCCTCTTTCATTGTTGCTCCAAACTGAATTACAGTTTATGTGGCTTTTGGTCACTGGGTCACCTGCTCATGTTTGAGTTGGAAAAGCAACAAGGAAGAGACTGGATGACTGTTTCTTTCACGAAAATGTCTCCCATTAATGCAAAGATGTTTATAATTGTTGTGGGGTGGACAGGAAATGAAGAAAATATTCATAAGATAGAATAAGAATGTGTGCGTGATCTGTGGCACAGAGTTACTCTCGTGATCCAGTTAAGCAATGGGAAAGTCCACCGTAAGTGTTAAAATGCGTGATTCATCGCTATTCTGTTTTGGCATAACTTCGGTTGTATGTAATCCTTTATAGGTCACCTACCATTATTGCATTATTAGTTCAGGGAAGACAAGAAACACAGCTAATAAAATATTCCCACTACTAATTTAATAGTGTGACACACAGAGAGCTTCAGAAAATGTTCATTAAATAGATACAGATGGCTAAATAAGAATGTTCTTCCAACTTCCCACGGGGAAGGAAAGGGGTCACCTTCATTGTGAGATGTGACTATTTTATGGATTAAGCATTAGATCAGATTCAGGAACGATGTTGCACACCCAGAAAACCAGTGCTCATAGAGGTTGCTCCTACCCCCATATATTTCCATGCTCATGTGGGCAGTTTAGTGCCCACTTCCAGAATGATTTGGGCCACTTCTTAAAATGTGCATGTTAAGAGTCGGAAGCATCATGCCACTCGATGAGTAAGGATTATGCCTGGTTGTTACAACCTCCACTTTCTTTGTGCACTTCTACTAATTCTGCATGCTCTGACTCTAAGGGAAAAGCACATAAATTATGACCCTGTCATTTGGGGTCCATGTGACATGGCCACCTGGTGTCCTCTCCTATGGCCCTCTTTGAAGATAAGGGCACAAAATGAAGATTAACGCACTCAGTCCTTGGATCCTGTAAGTGATCTGAATTTATATCCTTTGTGGGAAATTGAATTAACATTTTCAGCTCTTCTTTCCCTCTGAGAAAACAAAGAGTTTAGGTGACTTGTTCTGCTTTATCCTGCTGCTAAGAGCTAAGCCAGAGCACAGTGTGTGTCCTCCAAATGTCGTTAGAAGATGTGAACCAGGGTAGCATCTGTTCTGTTCATGCTATTGGGTAAATCCACATTTCTGAATGTGAGGTTAGAGACCCAGCAGTCAGATATTAGTTCAAGCAAGGACAGGTACCCAAATTGCTCATGAAACTGAAGTAATTTGTGGTCTGTGGTACATTGGCAGAGAAAGTCCCCAAGTTATTACAGTTCTCTTTAAGAATGTCGAGTATCATTTTCTTGTGACAACACCCTTAAACAAGATGAATGGAGGAAACTTGTCCTAATTATGGGTGTTGTGTTGCTAAGGTTCCCAGGATTGAGGTTTTAGGACCATCCATAAGTAATTTCTGGTAGAGAAAATCACTTTTAGACTAAGAAAATACCTTGAAAGCCTTTCTACTAAAAGTCTCACCTTTGAATTTGTCTCTAGGTGCCTATGTGGTTAGGAAAGGGGCCAAAGAATGAGAGGCAAGCGTGAAGCAAGTGAGGCGAGTGTGCACCCACAAGCAAAGAACCTCCAGGGTCCATGCGAAAATGTCCTTTAAACTAAGGGAAGGTGAGTGTTAAGCAGTCCTAGAGAGAAGACGCAAAGACTGGTCCTTGGACTAGTGGCAGAATTAGGTAGTTACCCAAGATGCACAGTGCACCCGCCTCTGATCCACAAGTGATCCACCATTTCTTTCTCCCCAAGAAGAGACTTTTCAAGCAGAAAAAAGTTCTGATATCCTTTTCCATTTCAATTAAGTAGGGCCCATCCTGAAACTGAGATTCAACAAATCTTATTTTCTTTCAGCTCACACTGGCTCTGAGTTTGTGTGCCTGTGCTTACAAGTGTATATATCAGCAGCTGCATTTGGAATGAAGACAGGAAACACAAAAAAGAAAGCCCTGGAGACAAAAGTACTTGCAATCGAGGTTCAAGATAGATGTAAGATGTGGTTACTTTGGTACCATTAAAGTGTTATCTTTGCTACGTTACAAACAGTCACACGGGAATTCAGCCACTTATTGCTTATTTTCCTAATTAGTGATCTCAATTAGTGGAGTTCCATTTCCCCAGTTTAAGTGCTGTGCTGTGTTGGAGGTTTCCCTGAGCCTGGCCATCCTGTAGCATAAGGAGCCCCACTAGCAGTTGGCATGGAGAGGCATAAAGGGAGTTGGAGACACCAACTGTGTTCTACTTGGGAAGCTAATGGGCTCCCAGGCTCACTGCAAAACCAACAAAGCTGTTCTACCTTGGTCTGTTTCTTAGGATCCCTAGCTAAGGGGAAGGTGAGGAAAGAGAAACACCAGAACTGGAGAGTGCACTAATGCCACAATTGACTAGGTAATATTTAAAGCAATATTTAGGACAACAGGCTAGCGATGGACCCATACTGGTCCTCTACTTTGTAACTAACACTTTATTAGAACTATAGCCAGGAGAACAGTTTGAAGCCAGTCTGGACCACATAGAGAGTTCAGGGCCAGCCGGAACTAAAATACAACACCCTGTATCAAAAAGACAAGCACACAACAATCAAAACAAAATAAAATGTTGCTTTAATACCCTTTGGATTAATACTCTGAGTTCTTTAGAGGGCTCCGTTTGTTCTACACTAATCATGATTTCAGATATTTGGGTCCTAGATTAAATTCTGAACAGAATATATGCTCAAAAGCTGAGATCACATCTCTAGAATGTGCATATTGACAAAGCACTTAGAAACCAAGGCATGGCTAGAGGGAAGAGGTAGGAAAGGGTTCAACAGGGAAGGGAGAGAGCATTTTTTTCAAATGCTGTCAGAATTTCACCTTTCTCACAAGTCATTTATGATGTTTTTGTTCTGGCTAAGGGTATGGCTAAATATTTAACCTGGTCTTCGCCACTTAATAGACTTTTAGAGTTGTACTCTTAATTATTATACTTTTAGGATCTCGATGTGTTAAGTGAGCACAATAAAATACCCATTTCATAGGTTCATATTGTGGCTATCAAATGACATTAGATGCATATAAAGTTGTGAAGCTCAGTTTCTGGTATACACAAGGGGCTATATAAATACTCGCAGTTAATTTCCTTGTATTTGATGCTATCATTGCATTATTTACTAAGTGACTTCTCTATTACATTACATAGTGTACTATTAATGTATTATGTGAATAGTAATAGGTATTCAATGTCAAATTATGTTACCCATGTTACAAGTTACATACAACATGTTGTATATGTAAATCATATATTTTATTGTCTGCATTTCCTGAAAAACTATTTTGTCCTTTGGAAAAAGAGTTTACACAGTATGCCACTCTCATAGCTTGGGTTTTGCTTGCATTCATTTAATTTGTCTTTTATATTGTTTTGATATACTTAATGCTACAGTATACGAAGTTGTACTCAAGGATTTCAAGGAAAGAGACAATACGGTAACTACTTTTAGGTCAGGATTATCTGGTGGTGAAACACTATTCTGCTTAAATGGTTATGTTTTGATCTGCACTGTTTCGTTGTTATGCCCTCTTTTATCTCAATCTCCACTCCATTATTTACTTTTTTATTTTTATCCTTTTAATTAAAGGAAAAAAAATAGCAGGATATATTATAGTAACCCACTTTGACTTTCCATTACCTCGACTTAAAGCCCTGTATTACTCTCACCATCTGGTTTTTAACTGATGTTCCCCTATTCTGTTTTGCTGGATAGTATGATAGGCATCAGCTGTGAAGATAATGAGATTCATTATAACTCCTATTCTCGTTGACTTTTATCTACTTTTGAAGACCTACAATATCTTCAATGTTTTGGTTTTGTCGGTTTTATTCTTTACTGTTTTGTTCAATTGTATTATAACTAACGATATAGGCAATTCTATTAGAGATAGCGGGAGGCATTATGGTAACCATTGTTGATCACCTTGTATTATGTTTTCACATTATCTATTATGTCCACCCTTTTGACTTGACCGATTCTGTTCTGCTATGTCACATTTGGTTTTACTCTCTTCCAAAAAAGTAATAAGAACCGTGGGAGCAATGAAACCCAAAATGTGTAATAGTCATTGTACAAAAGAGAGGAAAAGAAAGTGCTCTAAACTATATAACTGCATGTATATTTAAGTGTATAAGATAGAAAATGATATCATAGAGTTTTATTGGATCATTGAACAGATCTGTTTGCAGTATCATTGATGGAATGTCCACTTTACAAGCTTTAATTTTGTGACTTGAACAATTATTTCTAAGATGACAATATGTAATCCATTAACTAGTGATTTCCTACTGTTCATTTTTTTTCTGTAAATCTGTATAACTTGTACCCTTTCTCTGTTTTTTTTTTTTCTTTTCTCCTTAAATAAAATTTTAAAAAAATTTTGTCTTTTATTCAGTTGGTAACATGTTTTCAAAAGAAGTGGTAGTTGTCTTGCTTCCTCCATATTTGTCCCCCTTTTTTTATTTTCACAGTGATCTTGTGAGATATAACCTATTATCTACATTTGCCCCTTGAAGAAAGAGGCATTCAGAGAATGTATGTGATTATCCAAGAAAACTTTCATTTGGATGTAATCTCAATCTAGGCACCATTATTCAGGCTTGTAACCTCAGCAGTTGAGGCTGAGGTGGGTGAAGTCTCACCCAGACTCTCTCTCAAGCAATGAAACAAAAATCTTAAATGCAATCTAACATATCAATCCAGTTGCATTCAACAGTTTGTTTTGTTTTCATCTTTTGCTAGATCACACTGCCTTTCAGGAGTAAATATACTGAATATATCCATTATGGCTCAATAAGTGATCCTTTCACTGGCTTGAGACTGCTTATTGTTACTTTTTCTGAGAAGTCGTTTACTTGTATCTCAGAACCATAGTGGATGTTGCTGTACCATCAGCTACTCTTTTGGGACTTCAGCACTTACTGGACACTGTGAAGTCACTCACACAGGTGGTAACTACACATTGACCTTCCCGAGATTACACAGTGTGCTTTATCTACCTCTGTGCCTTGGAGATGCTCACTTAACATACACTGAATGAAAGAGTTTGCCTGTGTGTACACTCATTTGATAAGAGTGGCAATCCAATCTTCCGGACACAGCCTGAGAATTTACACTGCTTTTCCCATAACGACTTCATCTCTTGATTATTAATGACATTCTTTTCAATTTACTCTATGGTTTATCTTGCAAGGCAAAAAATCACCTAAAAAGCATGAAAGAGCATATTAAACATAGTATGCTTCTTCCAAATTTTATAAATAACTGCTTTTGGGATAGTAATAAAATGTCTGATATCATATTACTCTGAATTTGACATTGCTTGGGAAGTTCAACTTGACTTCTAGAAAATCTTGCATTCTGTAGATATTTAATAGCTCTTTCTAGATAGATGGCAAGACCAATGGAAGGCTTTTGGGCTACATAGATGAATACAACACAGCCCCTTCTGAAGGTCACACACTAGGCAAGAGAGGCAGGAGAGGGACCAGTGACTTCTCAGTATAGTTCCTTGGACACATTTTTGGGAAAACTCAACGAGTGAGGTAAGGTCAGTTCCATCACTATTTTTTGCCATAGTATTCTTCATTGTAATTATGATTGGTGTTATTGGACAAAACTATGAAAAAGTCAGTTTACAAAATGTACTGTATAAGAAAGCACGATTCTTGTGGAAGAAATAAGTTTAGTACAGTGAAACAGAACTCCTTGATACTCTAAGCACAATGCAGTTGGAAATGAACTCAGAAGGCAGCTCAGAGGTGCATGGGGCTGTGAAAGTTCTATATTGGGCATGCACTTGCATCCTGAGTGAAGTCATTCTCCATTGAACAAAAGCACTTTTTGAAAAATGAACTTGCGTTGATGAGCTTGTTTGTGGCTTTTCCCTGGGAGAAATCTGATTTAAACAAATTAAATTTCTTCTACTTTTTAAATTGAACAAGCCAGATCCTCAGACCTATCTCCCTCACTCCCATGCTGGAGTGAGTCTAAGACCAAGCTATAATTGGTAATTAATAACTTCAGATTCTATTATGGAAGTCTCATTACAAATTCCACCTGCACAGGAGCTTCACAAGAAAAGTACGTGCTTGGGTTTTGTGGTGAGCAAAATCCCTCTCCGTGCAACTAAGAAGGTCAGAATGACATTGAGACAGGAGACTTTGCCCCCTGGTGACCTGCCTTGGGGCCATCACTGGACATCTGTGCCCCTGCTTGTGCCCACCGTGGCAGAGGCAGGTGAGAAGTCAGGTCCTTCTGCAACCACGTAAACTAACAAGGTGAGTCTCATACAGAAAACTCAGGTTTCTTCCGTTCAAAGTCTTCTAAAGAGTGCTTTTCTTGTACCTATGAAGTCCTCTTATTTCTATACATAAATCAGGGCTTTGAATTGCAACCTCTGAATCCTGCAGCTTCTGAACACTGCTTGACTTGGACAAGACCTAGGGAATCTCAGGAAAAGTGAAGCTGAATATGGTCACAGGTGACACAGAAGCAGTCATGGCACCAGGAATGGTGTCTTTCTGCACAAATTTCATTTCCCTTGGTTGTCATGTAGTTGGTGGTGGCACACTCATCACAAGGCAGAGGGTCTTCCATTGGTAGTCACACACAATGTGGTCCTGCTGGGCCCACTGTAATCCAGTGGTGAGGTTTCTTCCCATCTTTGCCTAGGGTGAAGGTGAAGTTGTCCATTGAGTCCTGCAGGCAGGATCAGAATAAAATGGGGCACTTGAGTCTAGTACCCAGGTTTTGAACTATCATTGCTTGGATTTCTAGTGCTTAACCACAGTGAGACATCTCTCTAAAACAAGGTTTAGTTTCCTGATCATAGACTAGAAGGATCATGGTCCATTCACTTTCTTATGACACTCATGGGAATGAGGGATTCCCAGTTTATTCCCTGTGGAGATTTATTCAAACCTCCTGTGCTCTGTATTCACAAGAGGTAAGTGGGAAACAGGGTGGCTCACCCTTGTTGGATATAGGAATGGCCTGCTATGCCACTATATGTGGAAGGTGTCTCATATGGATGCTCCCCTACGAAGCATGGAGTCAGGGCCAGAGACAGACAGTCATGCTGTGTACACCTCAGGCTACCCGAGAAGGAATTTGCACATCTGCCTCAGACACCACAATCAGATGCTTATTAGCCACCTGTCTCATTCATTGTTTCAGAAAGTGATCACCAGGAAGTGATCAAGCCTGTTTTGGTAGACACCTCCCACCTGCCTCATGAAATAGCACTGTGTATAAAAGTCTGGAAACTCTTGCTCCATATGTTTCCCTGTATCACATGGAATTGGAACAGGACAAACTATCTGACATTTAAGTAACAGCATTTGACAGTGACCCACAAGCATTTCTAGCACACACATGTAGTATGCTCGCAATGTAGTGTGTGATCCTAGAGCATCTGTACTAGCCACACAAGCGCTGTGCTTTCCATTATCTTGAATGGCTACTCTTGTATTAGGGAGTCCAGAAAGCAAATGATCTGGCCATGCACAATTTAGTGTCCCACAGGAACTTGGTACCACTGGAAGAGAGCTCCTTTTCTGTGAGGACACTGATCTCTAGCAACAACAACTACAGGAAGGAGTTTGAGTGCCTTCAGGCCATACACAGTTCCCTGACCCCATAGCTACTCCCTAATCTACCTGACATCTCATGCAACCCACTTTGACACCTGCTGGAAGCCAGGAAGCTAGGTGAGTACAGAGTTGAGTCAAAGTAGCTCAAGCTTAGATACAGTGGTCCTCCCTGACACAGCCTGCCAAAGGCAGGATAGTGAGGGTTAATAGGGAAAAAGATCCAGAGAGGGGTCCTGGAACTCCAACTGCAGAAGACATCAGAGGAGTATTTTGTCAGTACGCAGGAAGAACAAGCCAGAGAGTGTCAGCAGCACACGGAAGGCTGGAAACCACGAGTGATGTCCAGTAGCTGGCTTTCTCTTACAGCAGAGCATGGAGCAAAGATTCAGAAGCAAGGACAGTGTCACTGCCTGTGCAGGGAGTTTTCTCTTGGGTTTTCACAGTGCGTTAAGTAGAGGTGCTGTGTTTTACATACATGATACTGAACAGAAGCCAGGCACCCTGGCTATGTTCCATTGTAGCAGAGGTCTCTGAGTGACAATTCAAAAATCTTGATCCCAATTCTTCAAAGGCTTTAGGCAAGAAATGGAGATAAAGGAGAAGACAACTCTCATAGTCACCACAGAGGTGACTGTGAGGAATAGAGATGCAACTTGAGGTCCACATCCTGGGCAACTTTCCTTAAGTCCAGACGGACCATTTAGTGTGGTCGTTTAAGACTGCAAGATACTGTGACCACAGGCTCTGCATCCAGTGTCTGGACTGTTTTGGCCTCTGTAAGTACATGGGTTCATACAGTGGGAATTTGAGCGTGACCAGATGTTGAATGTATATAACACCCCTTGGGGGAATTGTTCCTCTCTAACTCAGTTCACAGTGGCATTTCTTAAACACGTTGAATGTACTGTCCTGCTCCATTGTGCCACATCAGTTATGGTTGTGTCACTTTCTACTGCCCCCATGTAGTTGTGAAGCTTCACAGGTTTTATTTGGGGCCCTGTGCAGCAGGGAGAGAGGACACAACCCTATGGGTGACTGGTATAGATCACACTATGTCCTTAGTGTGGGGAATTTATATTAGAAGCTTCTGAGACAAAGTAAGCAAAGAATATTTTGAGTAAATTTTTAATGGACAGAAATATCAGTTTGTGTCCTAGGCTAGTATCAAGGATTTTGAGGCAACTCATAGCAATCCCTGTGTTGAATTTGATATTTTCAAATGACGCAGGAAATTTCTCCAGAATGTCTCCAAGCTCTGATCCTGGGTGCTAATCAGACATTCACAAACTAAATCATGTAACAGCCTCTAAATATGTCTAAATGTACATTGAGCTAACTAATCACAAATCTGTAGCTGAGATTGTCAATAAGAGGTGCTGATGCTTTGCAAATCCCCTGCAAGTTACTCTTGACATGTTTCTGCCTTCTTTGAGGCCAAGATATTTTTCTCAAAACTCATGGTCATCCAGCACATATCCAGATCAATGTCTCTAAAGATGCTATTTCAATACATTGTCTGAAAAGATGAGCTTGAAAGTCCTTGGGGCTAGTGGAAATTTCATCCTAGCCAAGTTTATGGCCACATGTGTTACTGTAGCAATTCTCGTGAGTGAGAGGTCTACAACACTGGCCATACTAAGAAGCAAATTATTGTATGGTGACATTTTAAGACAAAATAAAAATGAGAATGACTCCTAGGTGCTGAAAGAATCCAGCATCTTGAGCTGACTTCATCAGGAACATAGTGATATGAGGAGCATCCTGCTGGAGCTGTGCTTGAAAGTGTGTG